AGCTGTGCTGCCTGCAGCCGCTCCGACCTATTTTCCTCCCACTCCATCGGGGAGCACAGAAACTCCCCGAAGCCGCTGCAGCTCCGGCTGTGCGCCACCGCATCACCCTGTGCACCACCTCGCAGCCCTGTGTCCCCCCCATCGTGCCTCAGTTTCCCCTCTCCCCGCAGGCAGCTCCTGGACAAGGACACCTTCTCCAAATCTGACCCACGTGAGTGGGGCTGCGGACGGGGGCTGGGGGTCCTGGGGGGGGGGGGGGGGGGGGGAAGGTGAGCGCTGAGGACCCCCACCTCTGTCCCCAGTGTGCGTCCTCTACACCCAGGGACCGGACACCAAGCAGTGGCGGGAGGTGAGTGCCGACCCCGCGGTGTGGCCAATAGCACGTCGGGGTGCCGCTCGACCGACCAATCAGCACGTTGGGGGGCCGGGCAGGCAGCCAACCCGCGTGTTGGGGCGCAGGGCGGGCGGCCAATCAGCACGCCCAGCCTCCCCCAGCTTTGCAGCCCCGCTCCCGCCCCCGGCTGCTTGCCCTGTAATTAGCCGCTGGTTAATTGAGGGGCTCGGGCTGTTAATGGGCGGGTGGGTGGGCTGCCCCTGCGGCTGCACAAAGGGGCACCTGGCGCGGGGGGGGGGGGGGGGGGGGGCCCGGCCCGCCCCCCCCCCCCCCCCCCGGGGGGTGCAAAAGGGGGCCCCGGGGCCGCCCCCCCCCCCCCCCCCCCTGACGGCGCCGCCCCAGTTTGGCCGCACTGAGGTCATCGACAACTCCTTGAACCCCGACTTCGTGCGCAAGTTTGTGCTCGATTACTTCTTCGAGGAGAAGCAGAATCTGCGCTTCGACCTGTGAGTGCTGCCAGCCGTCCCAGCGCGGCCGTGTCTCCTTCCGCCGTTCCCCTCCCCGCCCCTATTTCCCGTTCCCAATTCCCACCCCCGTTCCCCATTTCCATCCTTGTTTCCCACCACTGTCCCCATCACCGTTCCCCATCCCTGTTTCCTGTTCCCAATTCCCACCCGCTGTTTCCAACCCCGTTGGTCTCCCATCCGTCTCCCATCTCCGTCCCCGTTGCCGTCCCATCCTCGCCCCTCACCCCGTCCCCACTCTGCCCCATGGCCACGCTCCCATCCGTCCCACAGGTACGATGTGGACTCCAAAAGTCCCGACCTCTCCAAGCACGTGAGTGTGGTGCTGCTCCTATGGGATGGGGTGACAGGGGTGGGGATGGGGACGGGGCCGTGGCGCTGACCCTGCTCTCTGCAGGACTTCCTGGGCCAGGCCTTCTGCACGCTGGGTGAAATCGTGGGCTCATCCGGCAGCCGCCTGGAGAAGCCACTGACGTGAGCAGGGCTGGGGGCTGGGGGGGGGGCCATGCCTGACATCCCGTGGGTGATGGTGACGATGGAAGGTCCTTATCTCACATCCCGGTGGTGTCTGGGATGGAGAGCAGAGCACAGTGTGGACAGCACAGCTCTGGGCTGCCCCCCCCCCCC